CTCCTTCTACCTCATTCAGGATTCTGCTCCGCTTCTCTGCTTCATTATCTGTTGTCCCCGTGTAACATGCTCCTTTCTCTGCCCCTCCGCCATATTCTCCGGCTTCGTCCCTTGCAAGAGATAAATGTCCCCACACTGCCCCGGAAGCCCTCGAATGGGAGGTCTGGAGGAACTGCTGCTAACTTGGTTCAAGGCCACGGAGTGTGGAAAACAACACACAGGGCACATTCAGCCAAACCACACAAGCAGCAGGCCTGGAGGTGTGCCTGGGGGCGGCCTGGAGGGCCGGAGCCCTGAATCCTTCATTTGGAGCCCCAAAACTCCGGGAGGCCAACCCCCTGGTGTAAAGGGGTACGGGAGCCCAGATGACCTCTGTTGCACCCGATCCCCCAGGTTTTGCCGCACATGTGGCTCCCCTCCTGCTGTGCCCCCCTCTTCCATCTATATACCCCTCTTACAAACAGCAGACAAGATTCTTGGAACATGCACACACGGAAACTTTAAGCAAATCAACCTATACAGGTCTTACTTTCTTGTGTCTACACTCTGCACTTAGGAACATAGACACTGAGTGAGTCAGAAAGGACTCTGACTCACTCAGAGGACCCAGGCCAAAGGACCCAGGCCATCTAGTCTGACCCCCGGCTCCAGCCGGCTCCACTCATGACATGCCCACCATGTGCATGTCCAGCCTATCCTTGAACACCCTCACCAATGGGGTCATTTATTTACATACTCCATGTCCCCTTTCTGCCAATGCCCTTAAGACTATCTACACTTTAAAATGGCAAATGACATGTTTTAACAGATGCAGCACAAAAGGAGAGAATGATGAGGAGGGAAGAGGAAAATATGCAGGAACAGCTGCCTTGACTACTGGTCGTGGCTGTTCTGACATGCAGTCAGCCCCAGCCAAGCCAGTCTCTTTTAGGTACAGCCACGGATACTGTTTTGGAGAAGGCAGAGTCTGATGAAAGCTGTTTCCACCCAGGTTGACTGGGTAACATCACAGTGAAGATGAACTCTGTCCACCGAGGCTGTACCTACACACACGAACACACCACCCATGTGACAACAGGGATCTGCCGAGTTCTACCCAACTCTTGCAGGGAGCATCTCTGCAAGACCAGCCTCTTCACTTTGTGGATACAACAGGTCAGACGGCTGCCCCCCTCCGGATATCACACTGTAATTTAGGGAGGTCTCTGTGGTGCTAAAGGTAGGATTCAGCACCATGGACAGCCACTTTAAAATTTTTAATGAGGTCCGGAGAGGACACACAGCCGAACTGACATTGAAGAACCCAGCTTCGGGTCTCTATCTTCTAGGCTTCTGTTGCTGCAGAAAGGCCTCAAATAGAACAATGACCGGTTCCCAGTGGCTAGACAGCAACCGTATCTGTTCCCCAAAACTCTGCAACGAGGCAGCACTTCTGCACAACATTTCTTGAAGTGCGAGCAGGGGAAGCTCTTTAGGGAATTCCCTAGAGCAAGAAGCAGCGAGGCCTTTGAAAAACAAAGAACATGGGTCTTAATTCATGAAAGAAAGCAGACTTGCCAAGCGACTGGAAAAGAGACACTACCTGGCCTGCCGTTGTGCATTTCTGGCACACTTTGGCTGCCAAAAGTCTTGTCACGCCTGTGGGGCTGCTGTCCAGGCATTGCAGTTTGGCTGCCAAAATGAAAGGCACGGGGGCGTTGTCTGACCAGACAAAACAGAAAGCAACCACTTAGAGATTTACCAAGAGTTACAAGCCAGCAGGACTAAATAGAACCTCCATGCGCAGGGATAGTCTAGCTCTGAATACCGGATGCTGAAGACAAGCAAACGAAGGAGGCCAGCACCTTGATGCACTGCTCAGATTAGAGAGTTCTGGCTGCCTGCATCCCACGATCACCCCATTCACTACTGATTTCAGAAGGGTCGAGGAAGAATCAGGAAATATTGGAAGACTGTGTCCAGCTCTGGGCACCAAGATTTAAGGAAGATTCAGAAAAATTGGGAAGGGTTCAGAGGAGGGCAACCAATACAATCCAGGGTGTGGAAACTCTGCCCTGTGAGGAGAGACTGAGAGAACTGGGCATGTTCAGCCTTGAGAAGAGAAGACTGAGGGGGGACATGGGATCCCTCTAGAAGTACCTCCAAGGCTGTCACAAAGAGGAAGGTCAAGATCTCTTCTTGCTGATGCCAGAGTGTAGGACACGGAATAATTAACTCCAATTGCGACAACCCAGGTTCAGGCTGGACATCAGGAAAAGCTTCCTCGCAGTCAGAGCAATGCACAGTGGGACCAGCTGCCTGGAGAGGCGGTGGGCTCTCCCACAGTGGAGATCTTCAAAAAGAAATTGGGCAGCCACCTGAGTGGGATGGTGTGACGTGGTGTCCTGCAACAGCAGGGGGCTGGACCCGATGGTCTTCATGGCCCTTTCCACCTCTACCATTCTATGATTCCATGATGCAGTTACAACTGGTGGGAAATGAGAACGGGGATTATGGGTTCTATTCAAGTGCCTCCTTTTCCCACACTCCTGTTCTGGGCACTGCCCTCATGCCCTATCTGGGGACTTCTAGAGGCACCCGACCATTCACCACTGGCCTTGGGGTGACCTCCAGATGTTCTGGCCAACAGCTGCCCCAACACCTGTCCGTCGGCTGCTGGCTGAGGCTACTGGGATTAGCACTTCTCCAACTGCCAGGTCGCTTGGACGGATCTTCAGGATCGGATATAGCACTGCAATACAGATGCTTTACACGGGTTGCCATTTTCTCTCAGGAAATTCCCCGGCTGGGTGTGTGTGTGTGTGCAGGGTGTGCGAGTCCCCTGGGCAGTTTCAAACAGGAAAAAGAAATGCACACAGCAACCCAGAACTTCCGTCTCTTCTCCTTGTTCTGGGACCATCGCCAGGGCAACGCTTCCGCTTTCCTCATTGCCAAACCCATTAGCCTAGCAGACTAACAAGAAAAAACGCATTCTGACACAAGCTATGTCATTGTTATATCCCATCTCTTTCGAAACCTACCGCAGCAGTTTTAGCAAAAAAGATTACCGATTGAACGGCCCTTTCATTAAGTAACATGCGTTAATGCCACATTCTCTGTTCTACGTGTCACTCACTATTAATATTCAAAAAAAGAAAAAAAATGGAAAACCAGTCAAAGCCCCCACCCTTTTGGCTTCCAGCTGCGCAGTGGAACTCTCCCACCAGAATTCAGACTTGGGATTTTTTTGCAAAGTCTCTTAGCAAGGCCAAATGAAAAATAAGTAGGCAAGACACTGCTTTGCTTGATCAGAAATCCCGCGATCCAGCCCCATCCGTTGCAAAAGCAAGTCAGCAAGGTGCTTACTCACCTCTAGGAAGCTAATGAAGTTCTGGTGGTCGTATTCTTAACATCTAGAATCGAGCATTGAATTTCTAAGCATGTGTACGGAGGTTTTGGCAAATAGCTGCAGACCGCACAATCCTGGCACACGTTACCACTGTGCATTGTGGAGTAAAATATTCTGGACGGACTTACTGGGTATGGCAACACAACACAAGAGACGCACGGAGAGAAGTTTGTGTGCCCAGTTACAGCAGCTCGTTCTTGGGACAACTCTCTCCGTGGCGTCCAGATATGTCAACCCCATTGCCAAAAAGAACCGAGATGATCTGGAAGGTTCCTTGAAACACTGGTGAAGTGACCAGCTAATGTAAAAGATGACGATGGTGATGGAAAAGAGCAGGAATAATGACACACAATTGGCATTCTGCGACAATTCAGGGCATGGGGGACAACCTGCAGCCCTTTCCCTAACTGAAAAAGTCCCCTGCAAAAGATAATTTGAACTGATTTGGCGACAGCAAAATGGAAGGAAAGGGGGCACTGGAGAGAGAGGGAAAGGGGTTGTCAGAAAGGAGAGCAAGAGTGTCAAAGTCAGAGAGAAAGAGAGGGAGGGAGGGAGGGAGGGAGGGAGGGAGGAGGGGTATGTCTAAAAGAGGACGCATTTCCTCTCCTGAGGACTGTAGCCCTACCCATTGTCAGGTGGACACCCGCACAAATTATCCAGAAGGAAAGCAGCCTTGAGCTAGAGAAAAGTTCACCGGCCCTGGTTTGGAGGCTCCAGAGCAGACCGCACGGCTGGGTTCGAGGCAGCCTGATATTTACACCCCAGGAATGAGTGTGTGGCTGGACCACGGTTAGCCTCTGCAGCACGGGCTCGCACAGTCTGAACCCCACTGGGATCACAACCCGTGGTGAACAACCCAACCCCAAACCGTGGCTTCTCTTCACAGCTTGGCCACGGGGAACAAGCCATGGGACAACCCACATGCAACCTGTCTGCACTGTGTCGTCCGAACCCAGTAGAGATGAAAAGCCAGACGTGCCTCTCTGGGTGGGCCCCCTCCACCAGGCCTTCAACTCCAGGCAGGCTCAGACGGGACAGTGTGGGCTTCCAGCTCATCTGGAAGACATCTCCCAAGTCATATGGGCTTTGATGCAGCAGAACCCTCCAAGGGAGGCCCCGAGTGAGGCAACAAGGAGGGCGGCCTTTTCAGTGGTGGCCCCACTATTCTGGAATGATCTCCCTGCTAAGCCCCCCCCCCTTCACCAACACTGCCATCTTTTCAGCACCACTTGAAGCTTGTCCTCAACTCGCAGAGGTTTAATGGCACGGGATGAGATGCAAGGCAGTTCTGTTTTACATAAGATTGTTTCAATGTTCTCCACTGCTTGAAATGTTCTCTATTAACACGTCACCTTCTATTTATTGTTTTTGCATGTTTAATTATGGTTTTTATGCTTATAGACTGCTGAAAACCACTCAAAGAGCTCAGATTATCGGGCAGTCTAGAAAAAACAAACAAGCAAGCAGCCCTTCCAACTGTGCCTGGAAGAAACTGGCTGTTGTAACAAAAGAGTCGCAAGCTTCCATCAGTGATCTGGCCCCTGCATTCTAGCCAGCTGATTTTCCAGACAGCATCCCATAATACGAGCAAGCAAGGCAGTCTGTGGCTTACCTGATATGGCATATAAATTTGAGTGCTGGTATTCGAAGTCTGGACGAGTGCCGGCCCCCTTCCCTCGAAAACTCGCTGGCAGCGTCAGAGATATATGCCTAGAAGGAAAAGGTGGCAGGGTTAGAGGTCAAGACTTCCAGCGGTAACCCCGGGGTGTGGGGACTGGGGTCCCAGCACCGTGTGTGGCCAGCCTGAGCCCTGAGCCTGGCCGCAGAAGGCCTCGATGGCACTGGAGTTGGCCAGCGGGTGTAGCAGGGCTGGTCTTCTTGGGGGTGGCACCAGAACTCTGCAATATCCTGGCAGGACTTGGCAGGATTTCCCCTGCCTTTGGCCAGTTTCAAAAGCCCCCTTGCTCAAGCAGGAGTTCAAGATCTGACAGATCGGTTTGATTCTCTTTTAAACACCAGAAACCGCTGTCCTGCTTTTGCACCCAGAATCCCTAACAGTGTGTCTTCGGCACCATTGCTTATTATCCTGCTAATTATTTATGGATTTGGGTGAGCCATTTTGTGCACAAATTCTTGTGGCAAAGAGCAATATACATTTAGTAAACAATTGTGGGGTGTTCAGCGCAGCAGTCAAAGACCACCAGCCGATTGAACATATCCTGTCCGAGTGGACTAGATCCATCCTGCCTGGCACTGTCTATTCAGGCTCCAGGGGTCTGGGCAGAGAACCACCATCGACTGCTTCCGGGTCCCTTGAGGTCCGATCCTGATCCACGGAAGAACGATCACGCTGTGGCTGCTCCAAACTGAAGGCTCAGGGCCTCAATGCAGATCAGAATTGCAGTGGGGAATAAGGGTTTAAAGGCCCCTCTCTTGATGCTAGGGCCCTGATCCAGAGCAGGGCCTCCTGCCCTTACATCAGCGTAAACAGCAAAAGGTGCAGCCGTTTGCTACAGCTAACAGAACATAGGATTTGCATCTTAATAGAAGGCAGCAGGGAATTCAACTGGGGATGTAAAACTCCACTCCTAACCTACAGCTGGTCCCAATTCTCCGGGGGAAGTGCTTGCAAGCACACCGGACCAAGGAACAGCACTACAAACCACTGTCCTCTCATTCTCCACCCGGAGATAAAATTCTTCTTATCTAAGAGAAGTCAGGAAGGATAATCTGCACAATTAAAGTGCCTAACAGGGGATATGGCATCAGAAAGAGCACTATCAGGCACGTTTCTAGGCCCTAAGTGGCTGCCACAATCTTGATAGACGTGCTGGCAAAATTTCAGGGACTGGGAGGAGAGGCAGGGAAAATGAAATCAAGATCTCCAGAGGTCAGTTACTTCTCCCTTTGCCGATTCCTTCAATGGCCATTCCGTGTCAGGGAAAGAAGGAAGAGAGCACTGTAGGCGACTGGCGTTGCTTCTCTCCTCTCCACTTCCCTGCGTGGCCAAGCATTTAACTTGCTCAGAAGCTCTTCCACTGCACTTTTTATTCTTTTTATTATATTTTTTATTTTAGCCCTTTTTCAAAATTCCTTTTCAATAAGAGCTTCTCTCCTGATCATTTTCCTCTTCCTGCCTTGTACCATTCTCATTTTGCATCACACCACTTTGATCATGAATTTTTAAAACCAGAAACTTCCTAGAGTGCTTTGTCAGAAAGGGCAGCAGAGAAATGCCTACAAAAAAATAAGTTGGAAACATGGACAAACCCAAATTTGGCCTGCCATTGACCAAGTCCTTGGTGGCAACAGAACCGTAGCACACCTACCGTGTTTCCCCAAAAATAAGACCAGGTCTTATATTAACTTTTGCTCCAAAAGACGCACTAGGGCTTATTTTCAGATGGTGTCTTCTTTTTCATGTACAGCAATCTACATGTATTCATGGACAAAAATCTACATTTATTCAAATACAGCCATGTCATCTTCTCCTGGAACATTTTCATAACTCTCCAAACCATGAATTGTGTTGCAACGGATGTACTAAATGTGTCCATCTGGCTGATGATTGTAAATGGGGCTTATTTTGAGGGTAGGGCTTATATTATGAGCATCCTGAAAAATCATGCTAGGGCTTATTTTCCAGTTAGGTCTTATTTTCGGGGAAACAGGGTACTAACCAGTTGCAGAAATGTGTTTTTTCTTATGCCTATAAAGCGCCTTGTCGTTTTATTCTGCAGACAGGAAATTAGATCTGTGAAACATCTCTCTCGCATGCAAACACACCCCATCGAGAAACCAAGAACGGCCCAATTTATAAAAATCCCAGGTTCCTAAACACATATTCTTAAATGAGAACAGCTTGGCAGCATATGGCAAATCAATTACAAGTTTCAGTTCCAAAATGCGCACACACACAAAAGCTGAAGCAAAGGGGGGAGGGGGGGAGGAGGAGAGCAAGGGATGGAAGCAGCCCGAGGACGGGTGGCGGAGTTTAGACGAACGAGGCCGCTGGAGTTTTGGTACCATTAATCATAATTCAAGGGTATGGGAAACCATTTTGACATGCGGGCTACATTTGAATATCTAATTAGGGCGCCGTTTTTCAACAAATTCTTGAAGAACAGAGCAGGGTGGGCACGGAAAATGGACCAACCCTGTAGTGGGGGGAGGCATGTAAGGAGTCCATCCAGAGGGAATCATTTAAAGGTTTAGTAAATGTTGCTTTTCTGAAGAGAGGAATTAAAATATTCAAAGAAGACTCTGGGTAGAAGCAAAGAAACTGAGTGAGTCGGAAGAGGTCTTCCGGGCCATCTAGTCTGACCCCTGGCTCCAGCCGGCTTTGCTCACGACATGCCCACCATGTGCATGTCCAGCCTATCCTTGGACACCCACACCGATGGGGCCTCCACCACCTCCTGTGGAAGCCCATTCCACCCTTGGGGTCCTAACTGTCAGGAAGTGCTTCCAGGCATCCAAATGGAACCTTGGCTCCCTGAGCTTTGCTCTGTTGGAGCACATCCTGCCTTCCTCTGCAGGGGAGAACAGGCCTCTGCCCACCTCCGTGCGACACCCCCTCATGTACCTGCATGTCGCCAACAGATCCCCTCTGAGTCTCCCCTTCTCCAGGCTGAAGAGACCCAGTTCCCTCAGCCTCGCCTCACACCCCATCCCCTGCAAACCGGCCACCAACCTTGTGGCCCTGCGCTGCACTGACTCCAACCTGGCTATATCCTTCCTGTAATGAGGGGCCCAGCACTGAGCACAATGCTCCAGCTGCGGGCGCACCAGAGTCGCACAGAGTGGCAGGAATACCTCTCTCGGTCTACTGGCCACTGGCTCCTCCTGCTTCTCAGGACTCATACCCAGCAGTGCGGCACCAGGGCCTTGGCTGGACTTTTGAAGGAGCTCCTGATGGCACTGACGGTTTCTCCAAAACAAGCTTCTGCGCCATGGATCCCCTTCGGTCCCCCACTGCCCAATCGTGGCACCATGGGTTCATTTTGCAATCCTTTCATGTTATTTATTCTACCTAGTAGGACTGCTTCTTGTTCTTTTAATTTGGAAAATGAACCTGGAACGACATTTGCTGAGGAAGCGGGGTTACAGAGATATTTCTAATTAAAACAAATGCCTGTTGAGGTCAAATGCGGGCATGAAGAAATCCTAAATCCAGCCTAATTGTTTTAACTGGCTTATTATTTTATTGGTTATTGTTATGGATTGTGCTTCTTTTCCTCCTGTTTCCTATTTATAGGGTTGTATTGAGATTGTATCTAAATGTTACTATGTTTGATAGCTTGTTTGTTATTGCTTTGTGTTTTTATCTGTATCTTATATATATTTATATTGCACTGTGAGCCACCCAGAGAACCTTTGCCTATAGGGCTGCATACACATAGGAATAATAATAATAATAATAATAATAATAATAATAATAATAATAATAATAATACTGGCCTTTGCAGGCCATGGGCTATGATGGAATCCAATTAATGCACTCTCCTAAAACATGGAAGACCTGCATGCGCTGGCCATCACGCACTCTTCCTGTATGTCACACACATTAACGTTGATGGGAGCATGGGGGGAGCGTCAGGGAGTGAGGAAGGGGAGAATGAAAGAGAGAGGGGGAAGGGAAATGTCTTTTAATGAGGAACAATGCAGCCCCAGCCTCTCCAGAGCCATAATTAGAGCAAATTAATTGAAGTTGTGTTTTGACACACTTGCCGAATGCACGGGCGACGCATGACATGTTCGCAACTCCACTTGTGGTCCCACGGTGGTGGGATGGCAGCCGGGAAACAAAATCACTAGGTACGCAGCTCCAATTTGCATTCGTGGCGAGCCGGCAGTGTACGTTCACCACCGCTCCAGCCTCAACTATGAAAAGTTGCCACTGAAGGATACTAACTGTAATTACGAGGAATTCGAGAGAATTCCTCATGCCACGATACGGCTGGGAGGGGAGAGGCTTTCATTAAGGGGAGCTCGCACCAGTGATGATTCCTCCCTCCCAACACGGGCAGAATACGAAGCGTTTTTCCTCGCTGCATGAGATGACAGGGGGGAGACGGGGTCACCCAAAGAAAGAAAAACTTTCCCCTGGGATTGCGCACAATGGCTGTGACATTTCATCTTCCTGTAACAAAGAATTCAACCTGCCCACAGAAAGCCGATGTCACGGCATTCGCTGCAGGAATGAAAACCCCGGCATTTTCCATTCCAGCCCCACCCAGCGCAAACGTACCACCTTGCTCAGCACGACATGAAAACAGCCGCCACTGTTCTCATTTTCACTGCCCTGCTCTTTGCAACGGCGCCAGAGGACCAGCCTGTATTGTGAAGGGCCTGTATCTGCTCAAAGGTCTCCCTGTTCAAGCTCAGGCTGAGGATGAAGAACCATAAACATTTTTGCTCACCAGTGTTTCACATCTGGGCATCAAACTGAGCATGAGATCCCTCTAGAAGTACCTCAAAGGCTGTCACAAGGAGGAAGGTCAAGATCTCTTCTGGCTGATGCCAGAGCGCAGGACACGGAATAATCAAGTTGCGACAGCCCAGATTCAGGCTGGACATCAGGAAAAGCTGTCAGAGCAATATGACAGTGGGACCAGCTGCCCGGAGAGGTGGTGGGCTTTCCCACAGTGGAGACATTCAAGGTGAAACTGGGCAGCCCTCTGAGTGGGATGGTGTAACTTGGTGTCGTGGAACAGCAGGGGTTGGACTCGATGGCCTTCATGGCCCCTTCCAACTCTACTCTATGCTTTTATGAGGTAGAACATATGTCTACTTAAATGTCAGTATTCTAAATCTGTGTGTTTATAAATGGGAAGAGGTGGGTTTTATATGGCTCACCATCCACTCTTCTGGTAGAACACCTTTTTGGACAATTTAGAAATGGCCACCTTATCCTTGAGTGTCTTCCTAGGGTTTTTCTGGCATGCCAATTCGTATCTTCTTGTTGTTGCTGGACAAACTAAAAAGCACTTCTTGTCCCCAGCATTTTCAGTTGATTTTGATCTGTTCAGTTTTGTTCTGCTGCCGTGTCTTCATTTTTCCTCTTCCTAGTGCACACAGAGATGCAAAGATATGCACTTTCTGAATTTCATGATCTTATTTCCCCTCTGATTTGTCCTACAGATTGCAATACCAAAAGGTGGCACAAACATCTTGTTTTTTGTTTTGTTTTTAAGTGCATGTGCATTGCTTAAAATTTCCCTAGGCAAATACTGGGTCTTTGAACAAGACAACCCACAGTCCAGGGCTGGGTATGGGTTGAGTGTGGGTTGTCAATGCAATATAGAAAATTGTTGAAAGTTGGGTTATTGTGTTGTCTGAACATAGGTAAGATGGCAAGCCATGATGAACAACCCAAGAACAAACCATGGGTTGTCCTCATGGGCTGCTCATGCATCATAAGCCATGACTGTTAGCATGGCTCTGTTCAGACAACACGATGACCCTAAGTGCATCCCACAGTTCTATAGTAAAGCACTCAATCCATGGTGTGGCTTATGGTATTGTCTGAATCCAGTCAATGATTGTCAGGAGTCTGTCTGTTGCCTCACATGTCTGAAAATCACAGCCATCAAGTGACAAGCATGTGTGAACCAGCCCACAGCATTTCAAAGCTGTACTCCTGTAGCTTTTACGAATTCTTGGGGGCTTTGCTGAACTGTGGCCTCTCCCTGTTCCACAGCCCCATCCACGGGTACCAAGTGACGGTGCCATTTTCCTGGGGCAGAATCCGCAGGACAGGAAGGGAAACTGTTGGTTTTTCTCCCAGCTTGAAACTGCCATCCTGGTTTCCCTCAAATTCCCTGGAACTATGCTGGTGGCTGGAACGAGAAAGGACACTGAGGTGCAGGGAGAAGTTCGAAAAGATGCAACCAGGATGCTGAGGAAACTGGAACGGTTTCTAGTTCTCTACAAAGAGCAAGAACACACTTCCAGGAGTTGAGTTCAGGGCAAAGATGAAGCGGAGGAGGGCATGGCAAGGAGAAAGTGGACGAGGACAAAAGGGAACAGATCCTCAGAGAATTTGTTCTTAAAACTGCCGCATCCATGTGCACAAGATACGGGGATGTCCACTCATTCAGATCATTCAACCGTTGACTAAACCTGCGCACAGCAACCGTTTCTGCAAAGAGGATCGTCTTCTGCTCCCTTAAGCTGCGAGTGTGTGGCCAGAACCTGGATCTCCCGACTCCCAGTCCAGGGCGGGCCTAGATTCATACGGCAAAAGCAGCCCTTGTCTACTTGTCACTAGAGAAGACATGCAGTCCGTTCCATGCTCGATTTCACCCTCTGGGTGTCCCAGGCAGGAGGGAGCCATACCACTTGCAGGCTTCCCCTGGGCGCCTGGTGGACTGGCGTGGGGACAGAAGGCTGATGTGAACGGCCTTCCCTGGGACACTCCTTCCTCAACCCACCCCGCCCCTGGGTTTGCAGGATGCAACAAGTCCTCCAGACGGGAGCCTGCAGGTTCCTGGCACAGCCTGGCAGCCCCAGTGGGAATCTCAAGCCACGCTGGGCCACTTAAGAGCGCAGCTGGAGACCACCGGCTGCAGTAACTCCCTAATTAGCAAAACCCGTATCGACACTTCAACTATTTTGGCCCACGCTGGCCATGAAGAAATGGCAACCATTGCAGAGTCTGTAAATATTTTAAACTCTCAGCAAAGCCCAGTAAAACCTAGCGCCACGCTGCTCTTGAGTTCCTCCGATTTCTCCCTTGGCTCCTATAAGGGGCTCTCAAAGCCCAGAACTTCCCTGCCCCCCTTCCCTTTTTCCTAATTAGCCTCATCTGCATCTAAAACACGCCAGGCTCCAATTGCTTTCTTCACTCTGGCAGAGGCAGAGTGCAAATTAGAACATCATTCAGGAAGGGGCCCTAAAGAGACAGCTGGATGGGACAAGGCCGTCTCACGAGGACCACAGATCCCAGCATCCATGTCATTCCAAGGCCTTTCTACTGCTTCCCACCTTTCCTTTGAATGCCACCTTCGCACAGAACGGTGCTGGTCCCCCCAAGGTGCCGGACAGCACGACAAAATGGCAGGAACAGCATCACGCTGCAACACGGAGGGTGTCGAACACATGTGTGCATGGATCTCAGTGGCGCAAGATGCGGGCGGCCCAGAAAGCAATGCTTTTGTTTTGTTAAGCATGTCTCATGCATTAACGAAAGTGCGGCTGCCATCACTGCAGGACCCCATTTCCTGCATGCTGACACTAAAGCAAGAATAGAGTGCTGCTCACGGGAGCATTTAACGATGGTGGAAGGCTTAGACCAAGCAGGGCGGCTGGTGCAGCCCGAGTCCTGTATAGAAACACGGAAACAGAGCCAGTCAGAAGGGGCCTCCCGGGCCATCTAGTCTGACCCCCGGCTCCAGCCGGCTCCGCTCACGACATGCCCACCATGTGCACGTCCAGCCTATCCTTGAACACCTGCACCGATGGGGCCTCCACCTCCTCCCGTGGAAGCCCATTCCACACCCTTGGGGTCCTAACTGTCAGGAAGGACTTCCTGGCACCCAAATTGAACCTTGGTTCCCTGAGCATGGCTCTGGTGGAGCGCATCCTGCCTTCCTCTGCAGAGAACAGGTCTCTGCCCACCTCCGTGTGACGCCCCCTCACGTACCTGCATGTCGCCAACAGATCCCCTCTGAGTCTCCTCTTCTCCAGGCTGAAGAGGCCCAGTTCCCCCAGTCTCGCCTCATACGGCATCCCCTGCAAACCAGCCACCAACCTTGTGGCCCTACACTGCACTGACTCTAACCTGGCTATATCCTTCCAGTAATGAGGGGTCCAAAACTGAGCACAATACTCCAGTTGCGGGTGCACCAGGCTGTTCTCATCCCCCCTTGGTCATCGAGTTCCTGGGGGACTCTGGTCCAGTCTCTGACTAGTCTACCTCACAGGGTTGTTGTGCAGATAGATAACTGGAGAGGAGGAAGCCTGAGTTAGCCCGGACCATAGATATGCTGGGAGCTGTTCGTCACACACAACTGTTTTCCCCTAAAAGTTCTGGCATGGGATGGGCTACCAGTATAAATAGATGGAATACTCCAGATCCCATCAACCCCGCAAAAGCTGTCCATCTGCTCCTGAATTTCTTCATGGTTGCTAGCAGGAATGAAGAGAATTACAGGAATGCTAGGAGAGGGAGGGAAATGGCATTTGAGGACCTGATACAGAGACCTCCCCCAGAGACATCCCCTAGAAACAGTGGTTAAGTTTATTATTTATGCACTGGAGTGGCTTGAAGGCTGCCCATTGGCATCATGGTCTCTGGCTGGCCATTACCATAGAAGTACCACTAACACATTATGTAAAGTGGTACAATTAAATTATCATAAAACAGAATAAAAACACAAGGCATATAGTCAAGTAGAAACATAAATGATACGAACACCAGTGCAATTAATATAGATGGGCTAAGGGGTGCCATGGGGCACCGAAAAAGGGAAGTTTTTGTTAGGCGCCTGAAGCTCAACCAGGCCGGTGCCTGGCGAATCTGATGGGAAAGCATTCCAGAACTGGGGTGCCACCCCAGAGAGGGTCCTGCTGCCTGCAGCCTCCCCCTTAACCTCCTCAGGGAGAAGAACCCGTAGCAGGGCCTCAGCGGATGATCTTAGGTGAAGGGCTGGGCCATACGGAGTTCAGCACTCCTGAAGTCGCGGGCACTTGCTCATAGAATGACTGAGCTGTGGCGTCATGTGATTCTTGCTTATACATCAAGAGCAACTAGAGAAGTGCAGAACCTCAGCCTGCACCTGGCACTCTGGGGCTCCCCAGATGGCCACGCCCCTTTCCTGAGCCACCAATTAGAGGGCAGGGCTCCTGGGTCTTGCCCACTTCCCCCCACCCCGCCCCCGTTGTACATGGTTGAAATTCTTCCGCTAAGGCTTAGCTAGCTACTTGTAACAAGAACTTGGACAGGTGGGCATCTGCGTCTTCTAGCCCTGCCCCCTTTAGCCTTGGCTCCGCCCACACCTGGAAGGCAGCGACGAAGAATCCAGCACTCAGGATGAGAGAGGCCCAATTCCCCTGGAGGAGACCAATCCCCCCTTCCCCCTCCCCTGCATTTGCACGCCTAAACATTCCAGCCCCCCAGTGGTGGTCCAGCCCACATGCCAGAAGCCCCTGGGGCCTTGCCTTAGAAACACAGAAACAGAGCGGGTCAGAAGGGGCCTCTGGGCCATCTAGTCTGACCCCCGGCTCCAGCCGGCTCTGCTCATGACACGCCCACCATGTGGACGTCCAGCCTGTCTAGACGTTGCCTCTTGCTTCTCTTGGCTGCTCCTCCCTCCATTTCCAAGAGGAGAACCAGGCACCGCCACCCAAGGGAGCCCAAGGGAGCCCCAGGCGAGGGAGAATCCACACAGCAAGCCTCACCTGGGCAGATTGGCGGCCGGTGTCGTGGCTGGAGCCTGAGGCGAAGGCGTCGTGGGCTGGGAGGACTCGTGATTTCGCGGGACTTTGCCCATGCGGTACCAAATGCCCATGCTGTTCAGCTCCCTTTGCAAGAGACAGAGAAGCCACATCAGGCCTGCGGACGCAACACACACACCACGCGGGGGGGGGGGCGCGCCGGGGGGGAACACGGGGGGGGGGTCCCACAGGAAGAGATGCGGATCCCATCCAGGCATCTGGGACCACGATCTCCTGGCTTAGGGAGACCATGGCGAGAGAGACCCTTACCCGATGAACGTGTACTGGGGAGGGGACTGCTTTCCCCGGCCCAGGATCCGGATATCGCACACTGCGGCCTCGGTAGAATCCCGGGGAATGAATTTGATGCAGAGCCTCTTCTTCCGGAAGGCCGTCTCCTCTGCAAAACGGGAGAGCGCTTCAGTCCGAGGTGGGAGGACTGGTCCCCGTCTCCTCCCTGCCACACACCCTTCCCACAACCCCAACTCCTCGCGCCTCTCATCCAGCTGACTCAAATTTCAGCAGAACCATCTGATGTGCCCTCGGGCTCGCCCTTTTCTTTACTCTTAGTCCATCCATTTCCAGCAGTTAGACCATGGGTCCTCAAACTAAGGCCCGCAGGCTGGATTTGGCCCCCCATGCCCATTTAAGCGGCCCGCCCCACAGGTTTTGCACTCGGTGGGCGGGCAGCTTGCTCGCAAGGAGGTCTTTTTGGACTAGCTTGGAGAAAACGATCTCCTTGCAAGCAAGCCGGTGCCTCGCCCCATGTGCCCCCCCCCCCGCCTAAAGTAGGCATGCCTCCTGCCTCCTCACCGGCCCACGCTCCCCGCTGGCCCCTATCAACTGGCCCCCTTTAGAAAAAGCTTGAGGAACCCTGGGTTAGACTGATATTTCACAAAGAGCACCAGTCATGCACAAGCAGGTGGGGATCAGCAGGCTGGGGGTGCAAGTCTGCAGAAGCACAAAAGAAAAGAAAAGCTTTAGACCCCTCAGAGACTGAGTATGTTCAAAGGTCCACAGTGCGCTAATTTCTGAGGGCATGAGAAGCCTGAAAAATAGGAGGGAAAGGGAACAGAGAACTCCAGACCGGGGAGCTCCACAAAGGGACAAAATGCCGTGCGTATCCCTGCTATTATCCGCAATGCAGAAATTGCATGTTCCTTGGGGCAGGGACTGAAGTTGCTCTCTTATTTGGCCTTTCTTCTTCCGCAGTGCAGAAAATCTCAGTTGCAACAGGGCTACTTCTGTGTGCTCAGCACGGCTGCTCCGACCCAATGGGCTCTGGGCCCGCCTCGCCTCCCTACAGCTCAGGGTCACAAGCTGCTTGGAGGTGGCTAAGAAGTGGAGCACAAGCTGGATTGCGTCTCAGCCACTGCACCCCCCATGATGTCCCCCCCCCAACCGCAAACGCCCCGAAGTGGACTCCGCAGGAGGCCTGCCACTCACGTGTGTCCATGGTCTCTTGGATGGGGATGAAGCCGACAGGCAGCGTGTCCCGGATGTCAATGAGTTTCATGTCCACCAAGACATTGCCCAGATGGCTCTGTCGGGAGGAAGGCAAAAGTCAAAAGGACCACAGCAGAGCTTCTGGGTCATATTGGAAAGGGCAGGGATGCTCCACTCCAGGACGGTGCGAGGTGCCGAAAAGATGCACGGCTCAAGCCCGCAGCACAAAGAAGCACAGATATGCATTTGGCCGGTTGGTGGCCGGTTTGCAGGGGATGCCGTATGAGGCGAGACTGAGGGAACTGGGTCTCTTCAGCCTGGAGAAGAGGAGACTCAGAGGGGATCTGTTGGCGACATGCAGGTATGTGAGGGGGCGTCACACGGAGGTGGGTAGAGAACTGTTCTCCCCTGCAGAGGAAGGCAGGACGTGCTCCAATGGAGCAAAGCTCAGGGAACCAAGGCTCAATTTGGATGCCAGGAAGCACTTCCTGACAGTCAGGACCCCCAGGGTGTGGAATGGGCTTCCACGAGAGGTCATTGAGGCCCCATCGGTGCGGGTGTTCAAGGTTAGGCTGGACATGCACATGGTGGGCATGTTGTGAGCGGAGCCGGGTGGAGCCAGGGGTCAGACTAGATGACCTGGGAGACCCCTTCTGACTCGCTCAGTTTCTATGTTTCTATGTGCTGACTGGCACAACTTACAAAGAGCATGTGCTCCCATGCATCAGAGATCCTACTTCCAAAAGGATGCCCCCATTTGTCAAAGGAGATGTACGGACCCAAGAGAGGATGGGATTTAATTTCAGGAAGGAAAATAAACATCTCGGACAGAACAATATGAGCACAGGTGGAGGGAAGAAATGGAACTCATGTGGGCAAGGACCCAGCCCATCCAGGGGGTCCGATGAAGCCAGAGAGCTGCAGGGCCCCTGGACAGGAGATGGACTCGCAGAGAGCGGAAGGCTTCAGGCTGCCAGGTCCTGCACTGCCTCTGCGTTCTTGCCCCAAGACGTGTAGGGTCCAGACGAGGCCAGGGTTCTCCACAGTCCAAAGGGCTAGAAACATAGCTCTCCTAAGACTCATCGTTATGAAAAGTGCAATGCTCAGGAAGCGAGGTTCCACAGCTTGGAGACTTTTTCGGCACCCTGCATTCTCACAGCGCACTGTTATGACTTAAAATATTTATATCTCAGCCTTTTCCTCTGCGAAGGACAGGGCCAAGGTCACCGCAAACGTGTTTTGACTATTATTCTAGTGCATGCATTCCAATCTCTTCTGCAAGGAGGCCAGTGCAACAGGCTAAGCTGAGCTTCCATATAGCCAGAAGGGCCTGATCCTGTCTAATCTTGGAAACTAAGCAAGATCAGGGCTGGTTGAAATCTGGATGGGTAAGTCAGTGCTGTGAACAGCTCAGAAAGCTTTGACTACGGGCAGCAGAAAAAAATGTAATAATAATTGGCCAAAGATATACTCATGAGCATCTTGGCTGAGTGCATTCGAACCTGTAGCTTTCCGGTGCCATCCTGATGCTCCTGCCAGGCCACAACACCAATAGACACACAACGACAACTTCAGGTTTTCTATTTTCTCCAAGGATAGGTGTATCACAGGGGGCCTGGCTGAGGGGCAGCAACAGGGAGGAGAAAATTTTGTGGAATGCCTAGGGCAACAGAAATAACATTTTTCCAGTCCAGGGACTGTATTCCAGTTCCAAATTTCCCAGCCAGAAGAAGGGGCAGAGCATGGGGAAAGCTGGCAGACTGGATGTCTTCTCCTCACTTTGGCCATGTGCAGTCTACCTATGTGTCTCCTACAAGAACAGAATCATAACGACTTGGAAGGGACCTCAGAGGTCATCTAGTCCAACCCCAACTGAGCCAATGTAGGAAATCGGTTCTTACAGCATCCGTGACAAGTGGCCATTTCTCCTCTGCTTAAAAAACCTTCCATGACATAGTAGTACGTCTAATTTGGCTAGGAGCTGATAATGCAAAGCAGCAAATGTTTAATTTTAATGTCCAGTGGTTGGAGGTCAAAATATGGATCAATTTTGTACTGGAAGAGCCTTTAATATTTGCTGATGTACATGCTCTTTTAAATTATCTACCTGCTTCTTGGAAATGAATGAACTGTTCGCGTAAATGGATTCTCAGTGCCCTTTGGACAGCTAAAAGACTGATACTAAAACATTGCAAAGATAAATAAATGAACCTCCTATAAAATGAAGTGGGTTGAGGACCGTGTCCCTTTGAAGGTGATGTCAATATATCAGCAGAGAAGCAAGTAGACTCCAGCTTCCGGGGGATACTTATTTGAATATTTAATTAGCCTTTGCTGAAACTTATGTATCATTGCCCATCAGCTGTAATTTGTATATATGCAGTCGGGATACATTCACTGATATGGCTCTGTAGGACGAGACGCCATTCTCTGTCGCTGGAGTTCACAATAAAAATGATCAAACCAACCAAATTATACCAGAAGTGCCACAAATCTGCTGAACACGGACCCAGCGCCCGCCCTCTTCCTTCCACAGAAGGTCCTGCTCACCTTGGTGAAGTGGGAGGGTCTTTGGGGCAAGACGTTGGAGGCCTGGACTTTTATAAATCAGCGGTGCTGACATTCCAGGCTGCCAGGCCTCCGCAAACAGCACGGGGCAGGAGAAAGCTTTTCCCCAGTCCAGGGCATCACCCCAGAGCAGGAGGAAAAGGGGGTCACTCCCTTTCCAAGCCGGGCACTAAAGAACCGGCTCCTTCTGGCAGCACCTTGCACAGGAAGCCTTCCGTGGGCAGAAAGGGGAAGATGGCAGCTCTGGTGTTCTTTGCAGTGTGTGGCCAAGTGTGCAGTCTTCCCGCCATTGCACAGAAGCAAAACTGTGTGCGCTTGTGAGAAAGGGTGAGGAGACAGAGGGTGTGTGGGAGAAAATGTGGGTAGTGCAAGGGGAGAGATGGGTGTGAATGGAGTGTTTGCACGCACATGTGCGGGGGAGAACAAGAATCAAAGTGTGTGTGAAAGAAAATGGATAGGTGAGAGAGAAAATCTGCGGTGTGGGTGAGAGAAAACACAAGGGCGTTGATGTATGGGCACACAGGTGAGTGAAAAGTGTGCGTGTGACAGAGAATCATAGAAACAGAGCGAGTCAGAAGGGGTCTCCTGGGCCATCTAGTCTGACCCCGGCTCCATCCTGCTCTGCCCATAAGAAGGGGGAGAAGAAGTGACAAAGTGTATGAGTAAAAATGTGGTATGTATGAGAGAGAATGCATGGTATGGGATCCGTATGTTAGTGAAGTTTGTGTGTGTGTGTGCATGTGTGTGTGCATGCACACATGAGAGACAGAGACAAGTGAAACAGGAAACAGAGGAGGGGAGACAAGGTGTATGTGAGCTAAAATGTGCAAAAGGAAATGGGAGGTACAAGGGATGCACGCGAGTGAATGGTGCACACAAGTCTGTGTTCAGATGAACACCTGGGGCTTGTGCACGTGTGGCTGTGTGCACCGGGGTGCCTATCTGACAGCACGTGTGAACCAGCTCGAGCCAAGCCTGTGAGGGCTACAGGCCAGCAGCAGGGCAGTCCTGCTCCATCCTGGCCTCCAACGTCCTCATCTGGACCCAATTTAGCTTCCAAACCAACCACTCTTCCCCTCCCCGCTACAAATGCACGGCCACAGAGTTGTTCTCGAAGGAAGGCGAGTTCCAACCATCTGCACGGATGTCTCCCCCATTTAAAGAAACCTTTGCCGGGTCCCCCATGAATGCCATCACTGCATGCTGATCAGAAGGCTCAGCATGCACTCAAGTAAAAAAAGCTTCGGAGCCAAAAGCATGTTTCGAGAGGATGCTCTGAGTGTTTCAAGGCTGCAATCCTAAACACACGGATGTTTTGGGGGGCACTTCGCCTCGCCGTGAGGGTGACGTTCGAGGAGATACGTGGGCTGCCACAGCAAATGGGGACCACATGAAACTGGTAAAAATCAGCAGCGTTTCAAAAGTCCCAACTGCATAAAGAAGCAACAGTGAAAAGTGGATTTTGCTCTGAAACTATACACACAGTAAAGAAATTTATCTGGACAGAAAAGACATATGCAATGAATTTAGCTAATTAGACCTGCATGTATTTGTTGCTAGGTCCAAAATCAGGAAGAAGTCTTTTCCCAGTCCCCCCAAAAAGGAAAGACTCGAGTCTGTCTGCCAGCTGGAAAAAGAAACCATACTTGGAATCCAAAAGAATGTCTTTGCTTATTAGTCAGGCAATGGAGAGACAAACCCCAACACACACACACACGCCCCACTGGAATGCACATTCATACACCAATGTAAAGCCTCCTTTCGCATTCCCCTGGTTTTCCATATGGGACAATATTTGGATCATCTACCCAATTGGCCAGTGGGAAACTCAGAGATGGGAACTCCAATGGAAGTTGGCGTGTCTCTTGTCGAAACTTTGGGGTGAGAAGTTGAACATAAAGGGTCTTACAGGTTTACAAGAATCCCCATATTCTGAACTGAGATGATTTTTCATTCCAGTATGCAAGATGAAATTGCTTTACATTTGATTGAGAAAATCTGACTTCGAGGCAAACACTTTAGGTATTTTTTTAACAATTTACACTTGCTATGATGAGACCCCACTGGACTCTAGTATTAAAGGAATAAAAATCTCTCCCTATTCACTTCCTCTGCATAATGTATATTTTTATACCTTTCTATCCTGTTATCCTGTTTTCACTTTTTTCCTAAGCCAGGAAGCCCTCAAACTGGAACCTGTTTTCTTAGTGGGGTGGTTCCAACATTCATTTTCAGCAAGCACCCCAGAATTTTTCATGTATTATATGAAGGCTTCTCTAGCGGTATCATATCAAAACGTTGTCTCAGGCTTGCAAACTGCAAAGCGACCTGCTCACCTGGGGTGAGTCAAATATCACATGTAGATGACCAGAAAAGGAGGTATTGCAAAAGTTTGCTTTGTTGCTCTTCATGTTTCCTTTCTCTCCATGAGTAGCAGAAGACGAGCTCAGAAAAGAAGTGCCCAGGTTTGATTCTAAGAAAACTAACATGCTGGCCAGAAATGCAAGTCACTTACGTTCTCTTTGGAGAAGGTCCGTGTGAAGCACAGATACCGTGTGACCTTGGATTTGAACAGTCCATCTTTCCAGAGGTCAGCGTCCAAGCCATCTGCTGTCTGTGCCACCTGGAATCGAATAAGAAAGGTGTTCAGGAGAAAAGGACAAGTGGACCTATTTAATGTATAGGCACCGCATCAGGTTCCCACACTAATTAATGCAGGTCTGAGGCTCTCTTGACACCTCATTAAGTTCTTCTTCCAGTGGAGAATGGGATTAAATACAAAAGAGGTTGCTTCTAAAAATACTGTTGCAAGGAGTTAATGAGAACTCCTTGCAAAACGAATCAGTGGAGAAAACTACCTTTTGCCCAACTTAAGGAGGGTCGCAGCGGATGGAGCAAAACACAAAAAATGTTTTTCTTTTCCTCTCTTGGAGGTTTCTGGCCTGAAAGACTTGTGCTTTACTTGTTTACTGTGTTACATATTATCATTTTACTCACTCGCTTCATTGTTGTCTATTTTCTTTGCATTTTTGTGATGATTATGGATGCATCGTTGTTATTATGGGTCATGTTGCTTTCAACTGTTGCGAACTGTTCTGAGAGCATGGGCTGTAGAACAGGTTATAAAAACTTTAAATGAAAATAAAATAAATAAATAAAACTAGAAAATGAGCTGCATGTAGAGGAAGTTTACGTGTAGTTATCTGTGCAAGCTAAAAGTCTCTCAGACTTTTACAAAGTCTCTCAGTGTGGTTTACCTAGATTAATAACAACACAATCTCTGCCCTCGAGTGAGTAATCAGAAGGAGAGGATACAAAAGAAAAAGCAACTTGAAAGGAGGATTTAAAAAGATAAATAAAGCCAAAGTTAGTTTCTTTGTTTCAAAGTTCCCAAATGCTTTCTGCAGCAGTTCCAACTAGGTGGTATATTAGAGCAAATATTTCTGATCCATTTGGGTAAAGTCCATAAAGTTAGCAAGTAAATATGAGCATACCAAAAAAGCACAGAAAAACATCTACCCACTGTCTCCACTAATATTCCCCTGTGTGGCATTCCGCAGGTAAGTTGGACTGCAATTCCCATCACCCCAGCCAAACCACACATACAATCTCCATCAAAGCAACTGCATGTATAGACTATCTTGGTGTATTTAGTTTCTGGATTTGCATTTCTTCTTAACAAATGTATATATATATTTAAATCCTCTTATAAAAGTAACCATGCTATCAGAATTATCAATGCGAGGTTTTGGGCTCAAAGCCGAACCTAATTACCTGCAGATGGTTTCAGGAGACTGCCATTCACAGAGAGCTTTAGAAATCTCTCTCTCTCTCTCTCTCTCTCTCTCTCTCTCTCACACACACACACACACACACACGCATGCATACACAAAGTAAAGTTGAACTGAATTCCCCTGGCCTGGATGGCCTGCATGCTCCCCAATTTCTCTTACTCGTTTCACTTTGTATTCCTCTGCAACACAGAGAAAACAGCTGCAATTGAATCCTGGTGCTGCAGGCACAATTTCTGAAGTTCAGTCCCCGGCGTCTCCCTGGCTTTTCCTTGCCTCCTCTCCCCAGGCTGCGGTCCCCAACACGTCCATTCCTGAACCTCTGCTCCTCCAGCACCATCAGCCACAGCCCTCCAATGCCCCTGGACGTGGCTGCAGGGGCCAAGAGGTCAGAGAGTTTCAGTGGAGGGAGTGAACCAGGCCAACATTCTTGGCCAGTATCTCAAGGTCATGAAGAAGATGACCTTGAAGACTCAGCGATGGGAGTTTTGGGAACTCGGCAAGAGGCAGAAGCTTTGGAAGCACCTGCAAGGTTTTTGCCCACAGGTTCCCAGGCTGACCGGGAACATTTCAGAGGAGATGGGAGAGATCTAAGAAGGGAGTACCGTTGCCTTGCCCAGTTGCTGACCCAATGAACTGGGAAAGACAAGTTGCCCAGTTAGAAGGCCTGTATGGTTTTCGCCAACTGGCCCTTCACCACTGAGAGCCACCATGAGTGGGGAAGGATCTGGGGAGAAGTTCCTAGTTTGGGTTCAACGGTCTTTACATGAGCAGAGACTTATCTTTCAGCGCACTAGTGCGCTTCCTTAGAGTTACACTGTTTGGTAGCTTCAAAGTGCAGATAAAGATCTTCATTGCAAGGGACTGCCTGGTATTTTGGGGCCTAAGGCTAAGAGCAAGGGCTGAGCTGAGACATTCCACTCCTCCGTGGATTAGAAAAATGAAGAGGTCGGACTTCCCAAGCCAGAAGTTTTTGGATTTTCAAGGACCAGCTAACATGGCCAATGGTTAGGAATGTTAAATGTTGGAACCCAAAGCAGTGGGTTGGGGATCATTGGTGAAAAGGAGCTTTGGGGTTCCTCTGAACTCCAGGTTTTGGAGAAAGAGTTTCTCCCAGATAGGCTGGAGGGAAAATGGTGAACTCAGCCTTGCATTTTAAAGAAGACTGGCCTGAAAGACAGAAGCTCACAAAGAACTTGTTTTTCTGGAATCCCTAAAATTATTCTAAAGCTTATTAGAAAGGAAAGTATTTGTGCAAAAATACACAGGTGGGAGGAATGTCAAGGGAGGGTTATCTAGACAGATAAAGTTTGCGCCTTCTTGGACAAAAAGGGGGGATGCGCAAAACATGAAACAACACATCCAGAGCCAAGAAGATGCAGGAGCAGGGACTCGGTGGCTCTTCTCAGCCCTGCTAGGGGCAGCGAGGTGCACCAAGATGAGAAAAGATCTCATCTTGAGATTTATAGAGCCAGATGCAAAGGTTACAGAAACAGCAAGCCACAAACACTATATGCTCTCTGTATCCCTTTGCTTGTATCCCACCGTTCTAACATGATAAAGCTCAAGGTTTTGGAGTGTTGAAAAGTGCGACGCCCGGACTAGGGATTATTACAACAGGGAGCAAAACATAAGCTTGCTAGGGCCCTAAAATAAAATAATATGAATGAAATGCACCAGGTGTAGATTTATTACAACGTTTCGTATCCCACCGAGTCCTTGTGAGGGGCAGTGCCCGTAGTTTTCCAGCGCCCGTTCATTTTGTTCTCACGATGCCCCTGAGAAGCAGGGCAAGCCAACTGGCCCAAGTCTGTCCAGCGAGCCAAGTGGACAATGGGTGGATTTGAACTTGGGTTACTCCGGCCTTAGTCCGACACCCCAACCGCTGTGGCAAAATGAATGACGGACTGTATGAACCAATCTTCTCCAGCAGACCTGCTCTCTACACACACAAGGTGTCTTTAAATCACTACTCCCATCACCCAGTCTGCATAGCGAGTGGGGGTGATGGGAGCTGTAGTGCAAGTCAGCCAAAGGGACATCAGACTGAGGACAGCTGTAGTAAATACAGCTACCGTTATGGCTACAGCATTGGATTGGGGCTTGGGAGATCCAAGGTTCTAGTCCCTGCTCAGCCAATCACTGACACTCAGCCCGATCTACCTCACAGGTTGCTGTGAGAATAGGATGGAAAGGAGGAGGAAAATTATGTAATTGTTTTGTGGTCCTTGCAGGAAAAATGCTGAGACATAGAGAGAGTCATTCAACCAGGTGCTAACCAGAAGAAAAATACCTTGCAGATAAGAAAAATGCCAGCGCTGATCAGGAAAGGGGGACAGAGACAAGCCTGGCCTCCCCAAATGTGTTTTTAGGTGAAGGAGGCATGCCAAGCCCCAACCGGAATCGGCTGCATCGCACCCGTGCTGCCCCCAGCTGGAGCGCATGGGAGACAGGATTCCAAAGCCTTGGCATGAGAAAAGGCCTTTCTCAGCACACCTCTTGAGGGCCAGCACTGCCCACAGAAGCAAGGGACGGTCCAAGCACCGCATCAGGCATCATGCGCAGACAGAGCCTGTCGGATCTTCTGAGTTTCACGGATGACTGAGAGTCTCCGGAGAAGCTGCCCTTCTTGCCAACAACCCAGATAATTAACAGAAGCCGCAGCCTTTTAATGTAAGAGCACAAGAAGAGCTGTGCTGGATCAAACCAGGGACCTATCTAGCCCCACGTGCATTTTTTTCTTGGCAGGGGGGCTGTTAAATGCTTTATGGCATGCCACTTAAATAATTCAAGAACTAAACAGGACACCCTCCGTTTCTGAGCAAACAGCCTCTGCGTCAAGGAGAATTACAGGCCGTGAGAAGCCCAATAGATGGCGAATGAAAGCAGAATACGGTGGAGCAGCATCCGTGGCAGACTCTGGGCGGAGTCATGGAAAGCTCCGCCTCTTCTTTCCTATTGGCTCCTGCTGGACTTCAAAGACTTCTATCTGATGCCCTTCAGCATCACCTTTGAACCAAATAAGCTCAGCCTTAGTAAAACAGACTCTCCTAGGGTGGGAATGATGCTGAGCGGAACAAAGGAAGCGAGCGCCCAGCAAGAAAGAGGCAAGAGCAGAGCAGGTACAAGTCCGCTGTTGTGGCTCCGGGATTCCGGAGAGCCTGTGAAGGGTGGAATCTTCAGCGTACCTGGGAGAGGTAAGGTGTGCAAACCTGAGAATTCCCGAAAGGTAACTCTGATGGTTTGGGAAACTCTGGTGCAAAGCAGGAAGGATAACTGTTTCAGGATGGAAGGCTGGCTGCGGGTTTGGGAACGCTGGCCAGGCTTGCCTGGGCCACCCTGTCGGAGCAAGCCCAACTCACCTGATGGAATACCCCCCGCCCCGGCCCCCTCCAACTTTCTGGTCCTGCAAAAACCACCTAAGAGAATTGTCTCCAAAGTCGAGGCACCACAAAAACAGGACTGGGTGGGCAAAGGATCGGGTCCTTTGCGCAGCTGGGCCAAATACCTGCTGGAGCCAGAAGGAAGGGTGGGTGAGAAGAGCACCCATCCATCAAGAGGGATTCGTCCTTCCCGCTGCTTTCTCCACCGACCCGTCCAGCAACTTGCCGGCACGGCATGCTGCCATTCCCTCAATCCGCAGGGGAATTCCAGTCAAGCCGTGGCATATGACTTCACTCACTTGCTGATAATATCAATGGCAGCAGGTTGAGAAGGGCGGAGAGGCGTATCCTCAGAGCCTCAGGCCAATGCTGGTTCCACCCCTATTCTGGCAGCGCTCTTTGCCTCTATTCCCTGTTCTCTTCCTGTAAGAATGTAAACACTCCACCTGGCAAACAGGTCCGCTGTCCTTCTTCTTGCATCCAGAGGCATACCAGTCCTTCTCTAGCATCCTTCTGATGCTGGGCTGTTTAGGATCACACCACTTGCCATGAATGCCAGCTCAGGAGAAAGCCACCTTGCCCACACTGAAGCCAGCTCCTGAGATTTCGTCAAACACTGTCCCATTGGAAACAAAGTCCACTGGAAGGGTTTTGTTGCAGCCATAAGGACTAGCAACTTGGGCTGCCGCTGCTTTGGGGAAAAAAAAATCTAAACTTCCCAAGACAAGCACCAGACTGTGGAATGCTCAGAGCATACCAAAAAGAACTATGAATAATTATCTTGCATTAATATTATCAAATAAATGCAAACATAACTCTGAATAGGGTGCATATTAATGTAAAGGAACTTGCCTGGATGCCTCACCCTCCGCATCGGGGCTACCCATGTGACCTCTTGCAGATGTTGTGGGAGAGGGAAAAGAACTGCATTTTAATTTCCCCCTTATCTTTGTTATGGCTGACTCTGTGCAGCCTGGAAGGCTGGATCCCCGCTTTCCAGCAAGGAGGCAATGCTCTCCCAAATCAGCACTAAAAGCCAGCTGAGCTCCGGAGGGACTTCACACACTGGTTCAGCCTCAGTTCATCAACACCCGCATTTCTTCAGCCAGCGAAGGATCAGGTTCCCCCATGTGTTCCTCACCGCATACCGGCTGGCTGGTTTCCGATTCTCCCTGCCTAGCACGAGGCTCCCTCCCCAAATCCGGGTCTGGAGCGGAGGAGCTCGGGGCCCTAGGAAGCCGCCTCATGAGGCCAGCTCAGCACTGTGGGCTGCCACCTATCTGGAATTCAGGCAGGCAGCTTCCCCCGGATTCCCTGGAGATGCTTGGAGCAAACCTGGGGCTCCAGGCATGCATGGCGGGGTCTGCGCCACTACGTTCCAGGGGACCCCTCAGGTCTGCACTCAGCCCAGCCCAGGGAAGTGTCCTTTTAACTAGTCGTGGGCCTCCAAGGTCCTTCCCTGCTCTGCTACCAAAAACCTTTTCTAACAGAGGCAGGCAATGTCCAGGGGCCAATTCCTCCTGGCCCCGGTATCCACTGGGGGCCACGCACCCCAGCCCCACTTCGCTGCCACCATTCAGTGCTGAGACCACAGCAAAAAAGCTGTTTTCCCCCCTCTAAAGCCAAAATCACACTCCCCAAATGGTCACTCCTGCGTTCCATTTCTATATGGCCCAATCGGCAGAGCTCTCTGTATTTTGGGTATTTTGGCTTCTCCCCATTGTGCCTCGCTCCCATCCATCATGGGAGCAGGACTACCAAGACTGACCTCAGCCCTTAGGCTGGAAAAGCTATAGCTACCCCGCTCTGTGCCAGCAACACGGTTCAGACAGCATGAAAACGCTGCTCAAGGGCGGATCGTGGGCTGACACTGAATCACAGGTTGTTGTTGAAATGTGGATTCTCGTGTGGTCTGAACCCAGCCAGCAACAAACTATGGTGAACTGCCCACAACACAGTAACAAACAATGGCTTTTCTTCATGGGTTGTCTGGAGTTAACAAGCCATGGCTTGTTAGCACAGCTGAGTTCAGACAACACAAGAACCCATGCTTCAGCAACAAGCCACATTTCGATGACATAGGTGGGTTCACAAGATAAGATCAGCCAGGGGTAGCTTCCTGTGTTCTGAATCTGGCTGGAGTGGTCAATGAACCCTGAGGCTGGTTTCACACAACCTGCAAGCACCCAGGGCTTAGAGTGTTGTGTGAACCCAGACAATGTCACAGTGCTCAACCCTGAAAGCCTCATCATCACCACGTTCAGCAGGTACAGCAAGGGCAGACTGAAGTGCTGGCAGGCAACCTCACCACTTCAGCCCTGAAACTATCTCGGTATGTGCTTCCCAGCAACAGCCCAGAAGCATTTCCAAGAGAGCTAACTAAGATCCAGGGGTGCAAAATGCCAGGGCTCCTGGAGGCACGAAGCTCTCCTAATCACCCCGAGCCACCTCCAGAATATTGTGCATTACAACAAGGGCAACTCACAACAATATAGTGTTGCCGGGAAAATTTATCCTACCGCTCTTGGGACGATTGCAGCTCCGCTCTGAAGGAGCGAGGAATTCCAAGGGGGTTGGCAGGCGATGCCAGAAACCCTGCTAGTGCAAAAGCAGCCATCCCCACACCCCTACAGACCTTGGTTCCACCACACCACTGCACAAACCCATCAGCAAAAAGCCAACAGGCAGATCTTAGCATCGTTGATCAATGCAGTGGCAGGCTGCCAGAATCAGAGAATGAAAACCATTTAACCTGAGCGGGTCCCCATCCAAGAAGGGCAAATCTCTTTCCTAAATAAGGGAAACACAGAACAGGAAACTGCAGCCAAGTCTGTGCTCAGAAACCCTCTAAACGATGTGCTTGCTTTTAAACTGTAAATGCTTTTCAAGCAAACCGAAGGATGAAACACTTTAGAACAGGGTTGCGTAACCCAGAGGTGGCCCGCAGAGGTATACCGGGATAGGAGGGTCACCCCCACATACTGCTCTTTCCGAGAGTGATCCGGTCCCCCGGCAGCCCCCGCGAAAAGCCGACTGGCAGCGGCAGGCCCAGAGCCAGCTTCCAAGAGCTGCATTCAGCCTGCATATTTCCCACCCCTGCTTTGCAGTCTCTCGTCCTTCAGGCAAATACAGAACACCAGAGCGGCAGCTGATACAATCTCAGAAGAGAGAGAACTAATCTGCATGTTGAGACAAGGAAATATGCATCAGACACGTGAATAGTGCTGCAGATTACAGCTGCCGCCGCCACCGACAAACACCACAGCACGTTCTCTGCACCACATTCAAAAAAGTCCATGCCCACACGGTCCGAATTCTGCACCAGGAAATGGAAAGCAAATAGAAACCAAGCTCTGCAAGCAGCAACCAAAATCACAGGACGCAAACTTCCAGAACTGCTCGGAAAGGGAGAAAGAGCTACTTACGACATCATAATTCGTAGGTGCCCGATTCCGGGAGGCCACAACGCCTACTCCAGTGATTGGGTCCATCGGGGCATCCGGCAAGGCATCAGCGAGGTCTTTAACCTCCGGCATTGTGGACTGATCCTGCAACGGTGAAGAGGAATTAAGCAACAGCAAGGTCACCAGGCAAGAAGCCAACGGGCGTATCGCTGTAGAAAGCCAAGTATTCCAGAACAAACACTCCGGCTGGGCACTCCCTACCCAAAGCACCATTCCCGGCCATAAAGGACTGACTTGCTTTTTTGATAGCGCTGCAATGCTCTTCAAGATAAGGGCAACCACCTCAGAAATATTTTACCAAGCAAAAATTTTTTATCCAAAAATATTTTATCCAAGCGACACACAGAGGTAACCTGCTTGCGTTGTTTTGTTTTTATAAAGCTGCAGCCTGGCCTCTTTCTATTCATGCTGTTGAGGAGGGGGCAGGATTTTGCTTGGGAATGTTTTTTGAAGCTGCTAGTCCTCATGGGTGCTAATGAGAGAAATGTGGATAAATGATTGCATTTTAACGGTGGGTAATGCAATCCCCTCTTGCACAGGTCACATGTGCAAATAAAATCGGCAGGTTCTAATGCCGGGGGGGGGGGATAATTTATGCAAGATTGCACAATTCAGGCTCCTGTTGGCACCCCCAAATTGTGGCACCCAACAAATTCAATGGACAACACATTTGTCTCCTTCTCTGATTGTGTAGCCTAAGTGGTGCCAAGTCTTCCTACTTCCTGGGTCTCTCATCTTAAACAGGAACTGGGTACCTGGAAGAAAATCACAGGCTGTGATTCTTTGTGCAGCTGAAGACAGCTGGACCTCGGTGTCCCCCACCCCTCCGTGCATCTCTGTGTGTGGCCCCCGGCTGCCACTGCCTCTTCCAACTTCCTTGATCTCCAATACTGACCAAGAGCCATTCCTTGGAGGAAGAACCCTGAAGCCAGAGGCTGAGATCTGCTTTGCCGAAAGCACAGAAACATAGAAAACAGAGCGAGTCAGAAGGGGCCTCCCGGGCCATCTAGCCTGACCTCCGGCACCAGCTGGCTCCGCTCACGACATGCCCACCATGTGGACGTCCAGCCTATCCTTGAACACCCGCACCGATGGGGCCTCAACCACCTCCCGGGGAAGCCCATTTCACACCCTCGGGGTCCCGACTGTCAGGAAGTGCTTCCTGGCATCCATATGGAACCTTGGCTCCCTGAGCTTGGCTCGCTTTCTCCAAGAAGCCGGGGGGGGGGGTGTAGGCAACAAAATCCCCCCGCCCCCATAGCCACAGCAAGAGCAGCTTCAAAAAGGGCCCTTCGCACCACTTGACCAATGGAGCCAGGCTTCCTGGCCCAGCAAAGACCTTGCAACCTGAGCAAGACAGGTAAAAATCGCAGAGCAGAGAGGAAAGCTGGGGAGAACCTAGGACCCTCTTTTCAGAAGCAGCTAGAACTTGGTGCCACCTCCCACACACGACCCTATGGATTTGAAAGATATGTCAAAGGTGGTTTGCAGTTGCCAGGCCCAATCCAAAGCTCCACTGTAGCTCACCAGGATCCTATTTATTTATCTGTTTCATTTCTTATCTGCACATCTCTGCATCTCTCTCATTAGCTCGCCTCCAAACCGGCGATTATAGATACAAAGGATGAGTTTAAAAACTGGAATGGCATTAAAGCCATGGATGGTTGAAGGTTCTTCTCCTGGTGGACTTCCATTGGGCCATAGGTATCTTGACCCAAGTTCCTTACGGCTGTGGACACTTCTACCAGAATCTTGAACCCAAGACACAGCAAACGGGCAGCCCGTGAAGTTTGTCCAGCAAAAGAGCTGCAGGCTGAAAAAGAGGCAGGTCCTGACCAAGAGAGAATCACAGCAGTCCAGCATGGCAGGTGCTAGCGTGTGCATCTCCTTGGCTGAGGGGAATCAGTCGGAGCTGATAAAGGTGCCCAAGCTGGCACAGTCACCTGGCAGGTCACAAACAAAAGAGGCAGACAGGTGCCCACTAGTGGAGAATTGGGCAGATCGATCCCCTGCTGCTGAGACTTCCATCCCCAGAATTCCTGGCCATTGGCTATGCCAATGGGCTTCTGGGAGGCAGCGACATCTAGAGAGCTGCTTTCTGCTCAGCCCGGCCGCTCGTTCGGGGCCTCCTCAACCCTGCAGCCTGATTTTCATGAGCCCAACAGACCGTGCTGTCGACAGCCACCATGTTCCTACCTGCAAGGAACCCGACACTGCTCGAGTCCCTAGCAGCTAAAGCCAAAGCTTAACGTCAACGCAGCTTCTGCATCCAAAGACAATGCCTAGAGGCTGCCACTTCTAACCAGGTGAACTAGCAGCAAGAGTGCCTCTGAGCACCTACGGAGCATTTTCCTTTCCTGTGTCACTGATTCGCCATCACACGTCACAGGGCAAACAGCATTTCGAGGGAAAGGGGCAGATGGCAGAAGCCGAGGGCCTCAGGCCCTTTCGTTTTACAAATCAGACACGGTTCCATCTGTTTCCCCCACCAGCGTCAGGCCAGCTGCCATCTCTCAGAACAAGGGCCTGATTCCCCGAGTGGCTGAGAAAGGGTCAGGAGTTCCCGGGTGTACTTTGGCACAAAGAGGCACTTCTCCATCGCCCCTCACCGCCAGAAGTTGCCAAGAATAATCTCTCTGGGGATCCTGGATGGAAGAAAGAGCGCGCACGGCACCGTTTGGCAGCTCCGAAGCACAAAAGGTTTCTTGTGGGTGGGTGACTCAGTAGGAGCAGCAGGGGGTGGGCAGGAAACTCAGATCAATTCAGACTTTGTTGCTGCGTCCACAAAGACCAGCTTTATAGCGAGAGCCCATGAAGGGACAAGGAAAAGAGCAGGATGTGGAAAGGCAGCCCCTGTCACAACAGGGCTGCTCTCCCGTTTGCGCTGGGGCAGATGAATATGCCCCAACCCACCCTCTCTTCTCAGCACAGGGACCATCTGTCAGACGCATCCATGGACAACCTTTCTTTAGCATCAGGTACCTCCACTTGTGGTGGAGACACGCAATGGTCACATCGATTATTGTGAGCCGCCCCGAGGCTTTGGCGAATGGGGCGGCATAGAGGCCTCCTAAATAAATAAATAAACGATTCTGAAAGACACCCCAGAATGCTCAGTTGTGATCTATCTACATGGCATCTTTTCAAACCACTTCTGCCTGCTTCAACTTTCCTATTTCCGGGACCAGCAGTGGCGAGATTCTCCAAAGATTTAATTGCACAACTCTAACTATTCCCATCACCTTTCAGGCTTTCAGGATCGACAGTTGGTCAGGACAACCCAGAGGTCTACCTCCTACAGCAGGGGTGCAGAACCCAGGGGTCAAGGGCCAAATGAGGCCCTCCAGGGGTCTGTGGATGACCACACCCCTTCCCTTGGCTCCACCCCTTGGCTCTCACCACTGACGAGAGCTTGGTGCTCTTGCAGCGTTTCTGCAGCTCATCAGAATGGGATGAAATGCTTCTTCCTTCTGAAAATAGGAGCCGCAATAAGCAAGCAGGTTTGTGTTTGGGCTCTGAAAGCATCACTGTCTTTGTACTGGCTTATTCGCAAGACACCAAATATCAGGAGGCGCCCACACGTGCGTGCAAGAGCCAGCTCTGTGGGCAGGTTTTCAGGCAGGTCTTGTAGGGGAGGGGGAGCACAGCGGAGAATGAAATTCCAGTCTCCCAGCACCCCTCTGGATCTGGAAAAAGCCCGTTAAACACACAGAGATCTGTTCCTTATCAAAAAGTGCATTTCTGTCAATCCAAGAAAGTTGCTTTGCAGAGCTGCAGTTGGCTTGCTTAAGCGAGTTATTTTTCACCCTGCAGGATGTGTCCAAATCAGATCTAGAGAGGGACAGGATATGACTTGGGGATATTTAGGTAAATATTGTTCTGAACTTTGCAGAGGCTACAGAGTGAGCTAGTGGGAGATACAGACGACTAGGTTCAAGTGATCTCGCCTTCCCGGTCAAGCGTACTGTTCTGTTTCCATCTTTTGCACCCTCTGTTGGATTTTGCTTCTGTAACACAAGCTCGAACTAAGTTTCCTTGCTGAGTTAAAAAAAAGCACAACATTGTAAGCTGATTATTCATATATTTGTGCAAGATTTCTGGTAACGAGAAGGATCCTGTTCAAGCCATAAACCCAGGAAGCAACACCACCACAGCCAAACAGTCCCGCCTCCACTGACGCAGAACCAGCATACAGAAAGCACAGAGGTTCGAGAGAAGGCTGGATCCTTCTCGTTCGGGAGAAATGGGGGACTTCAGTGGCCCTTGTCCCAAGTGGGTCTTTTCCAAGAGGAGGGAATCTCTTGCAGCCAGAGGGTCTCCATTTGGAGACTGCACTCCAGAGGTAAGGCCAAAATCCCTCAGACCTGCAGCCTGCATTGGCATACAGATTTTGATGTCAGTAACAAAGGAATCTCTGGAAAGGAATCCCAAGGAATCCTTTTCGGAATGGGGGAAATGGTGCAAAAGCCAGAACATCATCCAATGGTTTGTAGTTGGGGAAGAGGAAGTAGATTTCTGAGGAGCCCTGGAAGGCCAAACATGACCCCCAGGCCTGAGGCTGTAACCGCCCCCCCCCCCCCCGCACCAAGTCTATGCTAAGTATCTTAACTCTGAAAAGCCAGCCTGGAAAAAGGAGAGAAGGGGGTGCAATGACATTCTAACTGAAGGAGCAGCAAGTCGTCCCAAATGATTCAATATTTTCCCTGCAGCATGAAAGAATTGGCTTCCTGTTCATCCACGTGAATGGACCACCGATTCCGAAACCTAACCCAACAAACTGTGGTTCCTTACACCGTCTTCTTCACAGGGCTATTGTGGTCCTTTTCTCATCCATTTTAGCCTTCCACATCGGCCACCTCAAGTTCCTTGCAAGGGGTGGGGAAGCCAGAATATAAATCAAATAAAATAATTAGAGCCTTCCAAAATGAACCTGGATTCCTCCAGATCCTTTGCTCAGCTCTCCTCCATTCCAGCCATTGTGGCCAATGGTCAAGGACGATGGAAATCGTAGCCTAATATCTGGGCGGGGGTGTGTGTGTGTGCGTGTGCAGGCTGGGAGACCATGGAAGGGATGCCAAGTTGCA